TCCATAAACTGACCACCCTGCCTTAGACAGAAACCTTTCCTTGACTTCATAGCTTGTCTGTTTTGGGCAGGTTTAGGTGTATCAGTTATTGGCATGTTTGTTATTGGCTTTTTTCAGTGAACATTACTATCCAAGTCATTCGATGATTATAATCAAAGAATTCAACGAAAGGTCAACCAGTCAGAGAAGAGACTGCAAAGTTCTATAAAAAACATCCACATCTCTGTCTGGCTTCTTTGAAATTGTTGTAAAATAAAAAGAGAATGCTGTAGAGCATGGATATGTGCTATATAAATATTATTATTATTTAATCAAAAGTTTCGATATCGAATGGTTAGGACCTTAGCCATAGGAACCCCCGAGTTCATAATTTATCAAAGTTCTAATCTAAATACACTAACAAACCCCCTCCCCCCCCCACCAGCAAAACAGAACTAAAAACTAAAACAAAATCCCAAACAAAACAAGGCTGAAATTAAAAACAGTTATGAAAATCAAAAACATAAAAAGCAAAAATGAAAATATTACGCTTTTTCAATAGAACTTCAACACAACATTTTATTGACATAATAAAATAAAACAACATATCAATGAAAGAACAGGAGGATCACATAATGGTATCTTGCTGACTGTCAGCGTCTGGTAACGGCTTTCTGACACCCTTTTTTGCAAGTGCATCAACTGCTTCATTGCCCGGGTGTCCACTGTGACCTTTGACATACATCTGAAACAAAAATTTTAGTTTTAGTAAGGCTTTATGGCGCTCGCAACTTCATAAAGTCATATGAGCGCCAAGGAGTGGATGTCAACAGAGAAGTCCAAAGAGGAATCAGGCTTACTCTGCTCACCTCTCTAGCCTCAACAGCACAAAGTATGCTTCGACTATCAAGGCACCCCGGAAATAACAGTTTATAAGAGAGTGACAAACATACAAAAGAAGTAGAGGAAAAAATGATGATAGTACCGATGAGGAAAGAAAAAGCAGCAGTTCCCCCTATATTGTTCCGGCACAGTATGAGCATGACATTGATAAATCAGCCCACCTACAATTCTACTGTGCATAAGAACATATTAATATTCCCCCTTTGGGAATGGCCTAAAGACAACGACAACTTCAGTCAGTAGCACTGCCCTGGAGCGGAGAATCTGAAACAAGAAAGTTTGTTTGTTTTTAGTAGAGATTCAGATTCCTTGATCAACGAACAGATTTTCCAGCCACAGCAAAATCCCGAAAATAGACATAAAGAATGAGTGAATGAAAGGAAGGAGGAAGATAAGCTGTCGTAACTAGCCAAATCTTAGCCGATTTGCAAGCGAAAATGCTTTGCCGACTGACTCGCCATAGATTCACCGAGGGACAATGGTCGAGTGTACATAATGACAAAATGAGCAATCTGGAAGGTTTCTAAAACAACTTATTGTCGAGATTTACCGTAAATATCCGAGAGGTTAGGAAGGCAAGTTTGGATTCTTTGCTACGGAATACTGATGATAAACCTGTACAATATCTTTATCTCTCTCTCTTTTTCTTCTTAAATGTAAGCATTTGATACAAAGATGAGGCACGTACGGATCTTTCGGAATGTATGGGTTTCCGTAAAAACAGGGAAGATTGGAAGCGCTACAGAACAGACTCCATCGAAAATCCGGTAGTTTTGACACCTTTATCAATATGGCGGTAGAACAGGTCCAAAATCAGTAACTACCGGAAAAATCAGTAGATTTAGGTAGCCCTGTAATATACTTTTACTTTAATTTAATATTTTCTATTTTTTCAGTCCACTAATGCGACTCCAATTCTACATCATAATAGTGCTCTAATGGCCATCTGTCCAAGACAATCACCTGTACAAATGGCCACCCACCACTACCCCAATTTAAAAAAAATATATATCATAATGACACAGTCTGGGATGTCCACTTGTTTAAGGGGACCACTTCACTCCTTAAAGATGGATGGCTGTCTTGGACAATTTAGACTGTACTTGCTTCCAAAAATGGAGAACAAAAAAAAATCTTTGAAAAAGTAAGCTCTGTGCTCTTGCCGAACCAATTGTTTGAGCACCAAACTTAAACTTATCAGCCTAAAAATATGAGCAGAAAATAATTTGCCATGCAAACCAACATATCTATGGGTTTGTAATGTTCAATGTGGGTGTGTCTTATAGGAAAAAAAATAAATATACAAAATAGATGAAAACAGCTTACAACCATGGTAGCAAGAAATTTCACCATCAATCAGTAAAATGCTCTTAAAACAAAGCTATAAGTGGTTTTATTAGTTCAAATTGATAAAACGCTACTGAATCAACTATCCAAATTTAACTATAGATAACATGGACGGGACTGGAGTTTCAGGCTTGTGCTACGATTGCAAACAAATGAGCGATACCTTGCACCAGTACAGCTGGCAAGCCAGGTAAATTGTACCGACAGCAGGTCGTTTGAACTGGCACGGCGTATACTAAGGGGAGGCTATGATGACTTTTGATTGTGTGTTCCTTTCAAGTCTAATCTGCACCAGATCCTGCTTAGGCAACACATCTTGCCTTTTCCAGATTATGGAACACTGAGAACTTATACGAAATGCAGAGATAACGGATTATTGTCTGCAGTCACTTACAAGCATACTTACAGCTATAAATGGTACACCTACCCACTTCACATTTATTCCTTTCAATTCTTCATCAAGTTCTTCAAAGTCTTCTCTGTTAATAACTGGCTTCCCAGTAGTCAGGGCCCATCCATTTTTCTTCCAGCCTTTAATCCATTTTGTGATACCTGAAAAAAATATGGACTTTATCAAGTTAAAAAAACCACCCACCAACCTTTCAACAGAACATGAGGGGGACCATAGGCATTACAGAGATTCATTCAGAAGAAACAAGGAACCATATTCATATCTTACCTACTATTGAAAAAAAAAAGCAACAATAAACACCCCCAGATATGGTTACAACTTAGAAAGTAGCAGGGTGACAGGTAGGGTAAACATACAATAGCTACTTCCAAGTTTTGGGAGTAGTGCACAAACAATGGAAAGGCAAAAATTAAAGAAAACCAGTGTGTACTAAAAAAACAACAAACAAAAACCCCACAAAAAACTCATCACACTATGTGAATTTTCAACAGTTATAAATCTTCTTTTTTTTTTTTACTTTACTTCAAGGGTCCAAGTACTTTATCAGCATGAAATAAGAAAAAAGAACATACAAACCCCTTCCCCCCCCCCACCTCAAAAAAACCCCAGCAGCAGAAAGTACCATAAAGGACATACCGTTTATGAGAAATTGACTGTCTGTATGAAGGATCAAGTTCTCAATGCCTTTTTTCTTAGCAGACTGAACAGCTCGGATTGCTGCCTGTGTCCAGAGGGGAAAAAAAGAAAGAGCAGCAACTGAGATAACACCATCTTACTTACTTTATTCTCAGTTGGAGAAAACACTAACGTAGAGCAGTTGAAGAAAACACTAACGTAGAGCAGTTGAAGAAAACACTAACGTAGAGCAGTTGGAGAAAACACTAACGTAGAGCAGTTGGAGAAAACACTAACGTAGAGCAGTTGGAGAAAACACTAATGTAGAGCAGTTGAAGAAAACACTAACGTAGAGCAGTTGAAGAAAACACTAACGTAGAGCAAGAGACAAACACGGAAAATGGAAGCTGAAGAAAAAAAGAAGGAAGAGGGTAGTGTGGGAATTCACTGAATTTATAGGAGAGACATTTTATCTTATTCCCATACTATTTTACTGGAAAAACATTGATTAAAGGCACAAAATATATGTAATTTTTCTGTTTTCAAAGAGTCCTTAGCTCTTGGGGTTACCAAACTTTGGCAGCCATTTTCTTGCTAATTTCACCCTTCAATTGCAAATCTTGAGTTCCATTCAATATAAATGGATATCTATTTCATTGAAAGTAAGGCAAATAAATCAGCTTTCAGCTGATACCAATAACTCAACATGCCCAAAAATTGACGAGTGCCAGATTCTATCGTGTCGTGACATATGATATGTTAGTAAGCTTACATGAATTTCTGCTCTATTGTTTGTTGGTCTTCCAGTCAGCCTTTCACTGATATTGCTGAAACAATGAAGTACAAAAATAATGCATCAATAGTTGGTAAGCAAAATCTTTCCTCTTACATCAGCACAAAACCTCTTACAACAATAAAATAGCAATATTTCTCTATCTTTGTATCTAGATCATTTGCATTAAAACACTGCGAACAATATAAATCAATATCTCGTTACATACACCAGATGTGCAAATAAAATAATAGGAGAAATGACTTAATAAACAGCTGGGTGGCACTACTGTGAGAGCCATGTGTGCCCATATGAACTACCCAAAAAGAAACATTACAAATAATCATAGGAAGGGAGACAATCAATAAATCTTTCGCCCCGGGACAAGTCATGACGACTAATTTGTCACCTGAACCACATCAAACCGCTATACACAACTTCTTATCTGCCGAGTAATCGTCACCACGGAGTGCAAAAAGGGGAGATGAAAGCAGACAACAAAATATGGTTAGTTTAGTTTTAGTAAAAGTTTTACGGCACTCGCAACATAAATTAATAAGGTCATATAAGTGCCCAAGACGAGAGGTGTTACTGGACAGTAACATACACAAAATAGAAGGAGGGGAGATACAGAAAAGATAGATTTTTTAAAGAAAAAATGGAGCAAACCACACCAGAGCACCCGCCAACCACCCACAAACTTGGTTAAAGAGCAGGAAAGGAGGTGAAAAAAGAAAATTTTCTGTTGCTGTCAGGTTTTTTGAACAGAGCCCCCCCCCCCCCCCCCCCCCGACTGTTTATAATGGACAGCAAAATCCAACGCTGTCATGAACCTCCAACTACAAAGCATTAAACAGAAGGAAGAAAGCTGAGCAACCCCTCGACAGACAGCCATAACATTGGAAAATCTGGGGTAAGGGTGATGGTAAAGAAAATGAAATTTAAAAAAAAATATCTCATTCGAAGAAGAATAAACATACTCAGGATCTCCAGTCTTCCAGAAAACACCAATCCCAGCTTTGGCTCCATTTTGACCATTGTGAAAGCAACCACCATCTGTGTACACATGTGTAGCATCTGCATCTGGGAACGGTTTACCTAGGGAAACACATATAATGTGAGGCATTGTGGTGAATTCAGGCACTCATCAAAGTAATAAAATCAAAGATATCTGCATTTTTCTGCGGGTTTGGCAATTTTTATCAAATTTTGTTTTTTGCCTCAACAATTATTATGATGCCTATTTAAATTTAAAACACATTTTTGTGTGCATTTTACTGAAAAACTTTGATTAAAGGCACAAAAATGTAAATTTTCAGTTTCTAAGGATTCTCAAGCTATGGAAACTACCAAACCTTGGCAGCCATTTTCTCACTTACTTTAACTCTGATACCAAGTGACCCCATTCCACCTCCTTCAATCACAAATGATCTTAACTCCTATTCAAGATAGATTGGTATTTTTTTCATCGAAAGATAAAACAAATGAACAGGCTTTAAGATGATACAAATAGCTCCACATGCCCAAAGTTAATATTGTAAAGCATCAGCACATTTTACACTACATAAGAATAACAAATTTTGATTTTAAAGACAGGCTTCTAGTGGTGCCATTTTCAAAAGTTTTAACCGGGCAGTTTGTGCCAACAAAGGTACACAAGTATACATGACTAAAAGAAATACAAATACAAATACCCTTCAACCACCTACTCTTCTATGCTAATAAAACATAATGGGTTCAAAGGTAACACATTAAATCAATCTTTATGCAACAATTAAGGGCTCTTTTGGTCTAAAGGTACGTGTGTTCCGGGAACGAATACTGACGGTGACAAAAATTTTTCTAGTCTTAAACTTTTTCCATTCAAGTCCTTTTCTGTTCCCTGTCCTGTTTTGTGTTCTGCTTTCAATTTCATTTCCACCATGTAATTTATTCATTTTATCTCTACAAACGGTACTGGGATAACAGCCAAATGCAACTAATTTGTTAAAGAGAAATTAACAACTGGACAACTTGCTTGAAGTCTTGGCTATGGTCACTTCCCACAGGCAGATTTCCATTCTAGAAGTTTGCACTTCCCTATATCAATTTATTTTGAGTAATGTGTCATTTGGCTGAACTTGTACTAAATTGGCACATTTGACGACACTTCATCCATCCTTTACTTCATTCAAGAGGGTGCAACCCCAAAATTTATGTTGCAATGTGCTTTTGAAAATTTCTTTAGTGGGTAAGTCGAAGGCCCATTTCCAGCTAAGAAAAAGAACTGGAGGACACTATGGAAACAGATATGAAAAGAATATATACATACAGTTTTTAAGTTGACTTATATAATTATGCAAGCTATAACGTCATGAAACAAGACTATATGAACATGATCATGAACCCAAGAAATAGAAAGGTACTCATACGAGCAGAACTGGTAACCCAATTTTCCCCTTACGACAGGTAGCATTTTAAAAGCTCTGTAATCGTAATGCCCATAACATTGATTAAAGCAACCTTTTTCTTTCTTTTTTTTTATAGTAGTGTTTTACGGCGCTCGCAACTGCATAAGGTCATATGAGCGCCAAGGGGTGGGTGTCAACAGAGAAGTCTTTACAGGGAATCAGACTTAAACTGCTCACCTCTCTAGCTTCAACAGCACAAGGTCTACTTCTACTATCAAGGCACCCCAAAATAGCAGGTCACAAGGGAGTGACAAACGTACAAAAGAAGTAGAGGAAAATGACAATAGTAATAAGACAAAGAAAAAGCAGCAGTTCCCTGTTGTAGATCAGGCACAGTTATGAGACTGACATAAGTTGGCCCATTTACAATTCTACTATGCTTGAACGAGAAATGTCCCCCCTTTGGGAATGGTCTAAAGACACTTCAGTCAGTAGCACTGCCCGGGGGGGGGGGAAGCAACTTCAACCAATCAAAAGAATTATTATAATTTACTAGAATCATGAGAATAAAAATATCTTCAAGCATCCAATAATAGATGAATTCACACAGAGTTAAGTACTTAGCAGCCATGCATGCAATATTGAAAGAATGGTTTAATTATTATAAAAAGAATCAAAGAGCATATATATAAATAGGATTACTTGTACTAGAAAGAATGCCATACCTGTAAAATTCTCTTCACTGGTATCAAACTTAGGCCGCTTTTGCTGTTGTCCCATATTACTAGAAGCACTGGTATGAAATGCTCGTTTTGAGCCAGGAGCTAAAAATAATAATGAAATAAATTTGATAAAGTTGACAGGTGAAATGAAATACAACCTTAATCCTCTTGTAATGCTTGGCAGGATTTGTTTTGTATTGGCAAATATTTTATGGCACTTGCAATACAATCAGGGCATATAAGTGTCGAAGATTAGATAGAAGTGTTACAAGAGAGTAACAAACATAATAAAGGAGAAAAGACAAGAAAAACAGATATAAGATAGGAAAAAAAGGAGCAAACCACCCACATTGGCAGCATTCATAACACAGTTCCGTCTATAACTTGGTACAAGCCACCCTTGTATAGTGCACATTCAGTGTAACAAACTCCTCTTTTTTAAAAGAACTGAATTCAAACTTATAAAAAATCACTACCACTACTTCACTATCCTAATTATCTATCGACAAGAGTTTCATAAGACATTCAAGTATTTAAAAAGATTTTGCTCTATAAATTGCAGACTACACAATTTTCCGAAATACAATGCCAGCTTGAAAAGGTCTAATTATGACAACTAAAGAAGAAATATACTATACAGCATCATGAAAGCACACACCAAGAGACAATACTTATAAAACCTAAGATCTAAACTAAAAAATAACGATCTTATGAAAGTAAATATCTTTTAATTCATTTACTAATAAACATGGGGAAAAACATTCTCAAAAAAAAAAAAAATGTTTAAATCCATAAAATACAAACTTCTTACTCAATCAAGAAAGACAGAAGCTTACACTCCCTTGCAAACCAATTACAGTATTCTCCGCCACAGATCCCACCGCTGACAATCCCGGTTTCACTTAAGATCCTGCTGTTTTAAGAAAACAGAATTTTTACTTCACAAAAGCCATCCCAAAGATCCCACTCTGAAGGTTTACATTCGGGTAAGATCCTGCATTTCAGATTACATATAATTTACGGGAACAAAAACCCGGGTGGGCACAGCAGACCAATCAAGAGTGAACATTTGTTATTATTGATGAACTGCCCGTTGTGTCACAGACCAGCCACTTTTGTGAATGTGATCACATGTCCATTGTAAATTTCAAAGAAATGGTACATTGTTTGCTCCAGGTGGGATCACGCTGAAGTGTGAAATCGCCAACACGCTTATTTTCTCCAAACATCGCACTCGCAATTGAGTTCTCCATCTAAACTTACATCACATGCTGGCTGGGTAGGGCCTACAAGTTCACCTCAGGTGGGATCACATCGAACTGTGAACTCTTCCTTGACCACTGCAGCAGTTATCCTTTAAATTGGTGAGGTCACAATACAACAGTGCATAATGACAGAAGTGGGGGTACTCAATCAGAAATGAAACTTCTATAAATTTTGAACACGTAAAGGGAGAGGCAGCTGCACAAGCTTAGATCTTGAGTCAAAATGGCATGCCTCACGCTACAACTAAAAAAGAGACATTTTACTGGTTATTGACCTGAACATGGGTCACTGCGGGTTCTTCCCTTGGTGCGTCGGGTAAGATCCCGTTCGTCGAAGATCCCACATTTTCCTTGCTCCCAAGCAACGTGATCTTATGCTGAGACTACTGTATTTAGTTTGCAAGTGAAGAAACAAAGACATGATTACCAACATTCACAATTTTTTACTCATGATAAAAATAAAAAAGGAGGCGTGGCGTGATAGCCTATTTGGACAAAATTACAAACCATGAAATACGACAGACTCGATTTGGTTCACGGTTGATGAAAGCTGAGCCAGTTCAGAAACAACAGACTCAAGTTTGCCTTGGACTATTTGTAAGGTTCTTTTGATCTCTTGGAGGTCCTGATCTTGGGAAGATGAGCTATCTTGACGGGTCATTGTTGTTGAAATTGCAGGCCTTAGCTGCCCAACGGTGACAGGCGGTCCAGAAGAAGTACATGGAGTAAAACCTGTATCACCGGTATAAAAAACAAACAAAATGCAATTTAAATTTTCTAAGACAACCGCCAATTGCTATAGAGAAAAGTGGGTGTCTTACACAGTGTCATTCTAATGTAAAAAAATGCAAGGGGGTAAATGGGAAGAAACTGTTTGTCCAGGTGATTGTCTAATAGTAGGTTCGATAGTACAGGTGCAGGTGATACAGCAGTGCATCTTCATGGGTTCATAGTGTACACAGTGGCGGTGGGTAGTGAAGGGCTCACAGGCTTGAGCCCACTCTCCCCACACCCAAGTCTATCCCAAGTGTGCACTACCTTCACCATTGCCAACTCTGAACACATGCCGCTGAGTCTGGTAGGGTAAGTAAAGCTGTTGTCCGGCCTTAGAGTTCTTGCGCACAAGTCCAGTAAGCTAACTTCCCTGAAGCAACCCATACACGATCAAACTTGCTTGACACACATGCTTGAATCAAGCATATTTGATAAACATTTGATCATGCATGGGTAAGTTTGATGGCCAAAAATGATTGATGGATCTGATTTTTGTTGATATTTTTCGTCAAGCCGTTACAAAAGTTGGATCGTGAGTGGGGTTCATCAAATTTGTTTGTCAAACATTATTTTTTCACAAGCTGCCGGCAACGACACATCTCGCATTGTTCTTCAATTTTCAACTGTTATTAACTATCTTAGATCACATTTATTTCATACAACATCATGGCGCATCAAAAGAGGGAAAAAAAAATTATGCTGCATGGAGTTAATTAACGAATAACACAATTTGCCCATATTGTGGAAAGTAAAAAGCAAAGAGTACAGCAACAAAGATTCACTCATACAATAATTCAGAATGGCCAAACTTTTGGCGCTGCAACAACTAGTTTTTGGCCTACTTTCTTTTTTTTTCCAGTTTTCTTTTTCTTCGCAAGGCTAAAGCAAGAGCTAACGCTGTTGGTCCATCCATTACGAAGTCTTGGCACAAACTAATGTTTGACAAACAAGTTTGACTGTGTAAAGGCATACGTTAAGCTATCAAACACATTTAATCAAGCATGTGTGTCAAGCAAGTTTGATCGTGTATGGGCCGCTTAAGGAGGCCGAGGCCAGGGCTGAAAGGATTACTGTCTGGAGTGAACAACACTAAATATAACAACCCAACAATAAATGTAAATCTGTTGAGGGTGCCAGAGTGATACATTTCATGGCTTGTACCTCAACATTTCCATGAATTCTTAAAGATTTAAAATAATTAGAAATCTAAAACTCAAATCCAGAGTTAGAAAAAAAGAGAGAAATTGAGATAAGCGAAACTTAAACTTAAAGTTGAGACTGAGAAAATTTAACCCTTTCCCTACTAAGAGCCGTACGGACGTGGCCTCCTATCTATTCCAATCCATGAAAAAACTCACCCGATCCACTTTTTCAAAATAGTAGAATAGACTTCCTCTTAGCAGATACGAAAGAAAATAAAGCACTGAGAGACGATTTTTAGTCTTTTCAGGGCCTTTTTTTTGTCCCCTTCGAAACGTAAAAAAGAGAAAAAAAGCACCCCCCTGACTTCAGTATATATGTCTCATGTTTTCACTTCTATCTTAGGTACACATACATATAACTTTCAGTATTTCTTTGGATTACTTGAGGCAACCTACTTGGGAAGTTTGAATGATGCTGTTGTTGTACTTTTTTCTTTAGATATGACCTCTCAAAGCTGGAAAATTGTTGATTACATATGACACAGGACCTTCCACATTGCATAATCATTTTTAGAAATCCCAAACTAATATAATTGGAATAAATCTTCAATATTATATCACCATCTGATAGATTATTTTTTAACCTTCAGATTGATGGGCCAATTATATGGTTTGTGTGTGTTTAGTTGGATGTTTTCACATTTTCCTTTGGTGGGGTAGGTGCGTAAAAATAGGTCATGGAAAAGCCCTGGGCCAGTGGTGGATTTTGGCCTGGTAGGAAAAGAGTTAAAGAGAAGCACATTGACATAATAACTGCCACTGTTAAACAGTTGCTTCTTGAGTCAAAACAGCATTCAAAATCTAGTAAAACATAGTGGAAAAGAAATTGTTACCCTTGGAATTATGAACAAATTCTAAAGCATCTTCAGACGAGGAAAATTTCTTGAACACAGGATTTGAAAATCCTTTCACTTGTTCATGGCATTCTGGCCTGTGAATGTAAAAAAACAACAACTATTACTTCAAAATCAAATTTTTTTTCTCAGAAAAGCTAAATAATACATTTAACTATAGTAGCAACTACACAGAAATAGGCCTACAAGATCTATTATTCACTAAGTAAGGCACTTGCAGCGCTTAGTCACTTAAACTTTTTAAATCAAAGTTTATATTAAGTTTTGATATATTTTTATCTATTAAATATGAAAACAAGGAAAAGAAAACAGATAATACTGGCATCAGGATAGATATCTAGATCTAATCTAAATATCTGCCTTGCATAACATTTTTTTTTTAAAAAGAAGGAAATGATTACAGCAGGCCTATCATAAATTACAGGATATGCCTAGCCTATATATTAACAGATCTGTAGCCCCTAATACTCCATGTTTGAAAAAAATACGAGATCTAGCTCAGTTTAGCCACCAAAGGACAAGAAGGTACTACTTAAGAATGTGGGTCCCGTTTGGGGACGCTAGTTTTGACCCCACTGACGATTACTTCTGGTTCTAAACGATTACTTTTTGATGTGCGTGCCGACATGGATAGATTGCCTATCAAACCTAATTGCAAAACATCAAATTATGACATGCCCCCTGAAACCCCCCTTGCCTTGTTAGAAACAAGTGAAATTTTAATACTGCTCAGTTTGTAGGCTAGATCTACTGATAAAACATCGATACTGACTATATTTAAACAAAGATAGTACAAGACAAGATGGGCCACTCAGCCTAAAAAGTGTCCGCAGGAAGTATGCTCTTTGCTTCAGATGGCGCTGCAGTCTGTTTTGAAGCTCTCTTTCGTTTTTCCAGAAGAAGAATAGGAATAGCACCTCCTTGCGTGCGCAGATCGACTGCTGTTCATCAGCAGTTCGGGTATGTTCAGTGCGGAGTTTTAGAATTTTAATGACCTCTCGCCCTTCATTCTAAAGTCAAATTAAACGAAGAAAACCATCTCCTTTTCCTCCGGAAGAGGTTTTTTGTCAGCGTAATCATTTTTAAAAAGCGTTCTTCCGAAATTTATCCCAAAACTTGCTAGTTTCACTTTGATTTTTTAAAACTCAAGTAGGGTAACTCTGTTCGCAAAGAGTGCGCTTTTGTGAAGAGGGCGCCACCAAATTTTGAGGACACTTTTTTAATTGGCTCAAAGAGAGAAGTGGCCCATCTTGTCTTGTACTATCTTTGCTCTAGGTGGATGCTGCCAAGTCTAAACAAACGGGACACATATTCTCAAGTAGAATACCAGTCATTTTTTCGTCACAGTCATCTCGTCACACCCCAAACCACAAGATTGAAAGGAGATGGTCATTTTGTAGCACACAACAAAGTTTTTAGCCATTACTATTGATGAAAGGTGTAATTGGCAAAATCATATTAGTTCTGTTAAAAATAAATTAGCTAATAGAAATGTACGGTACTGCAATTTTGCTAAAAACTATATAGACACTTATTTAAAACAAAGTCTTATTAACTCTTTTCCAGACATTGTTTTTGCCTTATTTAAACTATTGTTCAACTATGGAACAGTTTGGACGAAGATTTAATTTAAGACATAACTTCAAAAAAAGCTTTAGTCTAGGCTGATTCTCCAAAACCCTACTAGATCTAGATCTCGCATAACAATTTTGGAGATATATATATAAGCGAAGTCATTTCATCACACATAGCCTAGACTAATTGTGCTTCCCGTGTCAGCTAGAATGTCATATAAAATTGCCATGTTATGTCATAAATGTGTCAATAACAAAGCTCTCTCTCATATCTTAGTGATCTCATCCATATTTATGTTCCATCTAGATCACTAAGATCAGGCGATCAGTATCTATTAAGAGTTCCTAGAAAAGGGGGTAAAAAATTAGCTGAAAGATCGTTCGCCCACCTTGCTCCGTCAGTTTGGAACTCTCTTCCCCAACCCCTGAGACATACAACATCTGAGTCTAAATTTTAAAAATCTTTAAAGACACATTTAACGACATCCTTTTTATGTCAGTAGATTCATGTTCAATACAATGTTATGTAAATGACTATGTATCCATTTAAGTATTTTGTGAATTGCAGTGTATATATATTATTTTACGCTCATTTCATGACGATGTGTAAGCGTGTGCGTGTGATAAGCAAGTAGGTGTGTGTGTGTGTGTGTGTGTGTGTGTGTGTGTGCGTGCGTGCTTGTGAGTGTGTGTGTGTGTGTGTGTGTGTGTGTGTGTGTGTGTTTGGCATACATGTGTGCACACATGTGTGCGTGTTATATGTTTGAGAGTGAGTATGCGTGTGTTTGTGTGTGTGTATGTAGTATGTGTATATGTGTGTGTGTTTGTGTGTGTATGAGTGTGTGTGAGTGTGTCGCGTGCATGAATATTGTTCGTACATGCATTTGTGTAAAGCACCTAGAGCTGTGTTTACACGGGAGTTGGCGCTATAGAAATGATCTTCATTATTATAAATATTATTAATTGAGGTGTGACGAGATGACTGGTTACCCTTAAGTAGTATGGCTCTTTTCGTCTATGCAGACGGCCAATTTAGCTAAAGATGGTCTCAAGGTTGCCTTCATGCAGCTTCTTTCATGGCTAATTTTTCCTATGTTTGAAGCGCAGATTCCGTCGCAGTGCTTGCATGTCAGTGACATAGATTGAAGCTCTGTATTTCCGCTGTTTTCCTTTCATCGTTGGCGCTCTAAGGTTGTGTCTAAGGCTGCTCTCTAGCATTATAGTTCTTTCCTTTATCATTTTCCTTCATGTTTTCTTGTCGCCAGCTATTTCTTCCTAGATGCTAACATCTACTCCAAGCTTAGATAAGCTGTTTTTGCAGGTGTATTTGTACCTCAATTTAGGTCTTTCTCTTGGTCTCTTTCCCTGGGCAAGATATGGCCCAGCCATCTCAATCTTTTTAAACACAGGATAGTTATCATGCTTTGGAGGTTTGCCCGTGCCAACATTTCTACATTTGTAACCTTGTCACGCCATGAAATGCTTAAAATTTTGCTGCAGCATCTGAGTTGGAAAATGTTGAGGCGCTTTTCTTGTCTGCTGTAAAAGGTCCATGTTCCAGATCCATAAAGGAATGTGCTGGGGACACATGCTTCGTAAATCTTGATCGTCGTTTTGATGGTTAATCTTTTGTTTTCCCATCCTTCAAAAAGTTGTTGCTGCTTTCCCTATCCTGATGTTGGTCTCATAATCAAGTGATGTAGTAGAGCTGATGATAGACCCCAGGTAACAGAACTTGTCCACTGTCTCAAGTTCCTTGTCGTTCAGCCATACATGGCTCTGCTCTGTACCTTCTTGGGTAAGGATGACTGTTTTCTTAACACTGATGACCAAGCTAAAGACCTTGCATGCTGTTGATAGGCGGTCCATCATTGTTTGTAGGGGTGATTCACTGTGAGCAACAAGAGCAGCATCATCGGCGAAGAGAAGGTCTCATACTGTTGTTTTGTTGATCTTGGTCTTGAGTCGAGCAAAATGGAAGAGCGACCCATCAGTTCTCCAGTGGAGGAAGACATCCCCTGGTGATTCTTTGAATGCGTGTTGCAGTAAGACAGCAAAATAAGCGCTAAAAAGGGTTGGTGTTAAGACAAAACCTTGCTTTACTCCACTATTGATGTTGAAGCTGTTTGATGTTGAACCGTCAAATTGATTGAAGTGAATGGTGGCCTTCCTATCTTCGTGGAATGAGATGATGAGCTGTAGCAGTATTGGGGGACAGCCAATTTTTCCAAGAACCATGTAGAGTCTTGATCTACTGACTGTATCAAAAGCCTTTGTCAGATCGACGAACGCAGTATGTAATGACAGTTGTTGCTCCCTGCATTTTTCTTGTAGCTGACGAATAGAAAAGATCATGTCCTTTGTTGAGTGGTTCGATCTGAAACCGCATTGGCTCTCTGGCAGGATTCTTTCTGCTAGTTTCTGAAGTAGCTTCAACAAGATGATCCTAGTGAAAGCTTTTCCAGTGATGCTTAGCAGTAAGATACCTCTATAGTTGTTGCAAGTGGTGATTTTGTCATCTCTCATGTCATGTAGATTTTCTGCTTTCACCCAACAAGTTGTTAGTAGCTTGTAGAGATATAGGAGGAGGGTCTCTTTGTTCTCTTTCAGCACTTCAGCAGGTATGTTGTTATTTCCTGCTGCTTTACCACAAGCGAGTTCATTGATTGCAGAAGAGAGTTCTTCTTCTGTTGGTGTTGTATCAAGTTCTGACATTTCGGAGAGCTGAGGAATGGCCTCATGTAGCTGTCTATCAACATGTCGCTCCTCTGAGTATAAGTCTGAATAATGTTTCACCCATCTTTCCATTTGTTCCTTCGTGTCTGTCAGCTGTTCACCTGTCGCAGACTTTAGAGGTGCCACTTTGTTTGCTGTTAGTCCAATAGCAACTCTGATGTTTTCATACATTTTCCTGATATAACCTGTATCGCTTGCCTGTTGGATTTCTGAGCATAATTTGTCCCAGTACTTATTGGCACACTTTCTGGTTTCTCTTTGAAGGTTGGATTTAGCAGCACGTAGTTGTTGCTTTGTACTTTCTGTTAGATTTTTGTGTGTTGTGTTCTATCAGGATCTTACGCTTTTTCTCGAGTAGTGGTGCGAGTTTTGATACACTGGCTTCAACCCAGTCCTCCACGCAAGGTCTTTTTATCCCAAAAGTAATCGACGCAGAATAAATTGTTGCTCTCATGCTATTCCATATGTTGTCTGGGGGTCTTCTTCTTTAACATGTTCTTGAAATTTTGCCTTTAACGCTGGGTCTTTGATATTTCTTATGTTGATCTTAGGTTTCTTTTGTTTTTCAGCTCTTGGTGTTTTCTTTGTGACTATCTTTGCCTCAGCTATAACTAAAAGGTGGTCTGTGTTGCAGTCCGCACTGTAGAAGGATCTTGTTTGCTTTACCATGTTGGCATCTTTATTTCTGAAGATGATGAAGACGATTTGGTGCCAATGGCCTGATCTTGGAAGGCACCAAGAAACCTTGTGTTTGTCCTTGCCACAGTAGGTGTTATTGATGCAAAGGTTGTTATTTGTGCAGAATTCAAAGAGTCTCTGAACCATTCCCGTACATTTTTCCAAGCCCAAAAGGTCCAAAGCAGGTGGGCCATACTATGTTTTCAGTACCTACTCTTGCATTGATGAAGTCGCCCATGAGAAACAGTTGGTCTGCTTTTGGGACGTTGTTGATTGCATCCAGAAGTTCCTTGACAAACTGGGTTTTTTTTCTTCTCATTTTCTGTTCTTAGGGTTGGGGCGTAGGCACTGACGAAGAGAGCCTTTCCAGTTTTGGTTTCCATTTCCATGACAGTGATACGTTCGGATATATATATACCTTGGGGGGGGTGGGGGGTGGTGCTGATCCTGTTCAGCAATCTGTTGTGTACTGCAAAGCCCACACCATGGATTCCCCTCTCATCTTCCCCAAGACCCTTCCAGAAGAATGTGCAGTTTCTTTCCCTGATGGTACCAGAGTTAGCAAGTCTTGTCTCTTGCAGGGCAGTGATGTCTACATTGAGTCGTGTGAGCTCCCTGTCTATGATTGCCGTCTTTCTAATGTCCTGTTTTCTCCAGGTTGGTGGTGTCAAATCCGGTTGTCATTGTTCTAACATTCCAGGTCCCCAGTTTACATGGGGTTAGTTTTACTCTTTTTTTGCCTGGTGCTGGATTTAACGTCCGCCTTTCGGTTTTTGTCCTAGCTCTATAGCAAACAGATCAGCACCTTACTGATTGGGGGCTGCCCAGTTTGAGACGGGCGGTGGCTGATCAGTGCGACTGAATAGTCACTCCCATCGTCAAGAATGACCCGTGGAGACATCATTATTTGGCGAAATAGGATGTCTCCACGGGTCATCTTTGACGATGGGAGCAACTATTTCGCCAAATAGTGATGTCTCGTAACCCATACTGCCACCTCCCGTGTTTTTTCCCTTGCTCATCACAACAAGGATGAAGCGTCCTCTCCATATAATGCATTGATGTTGTAGCTGCGGTTGAGATGTGGGTCTGATCTGCTGTACTTGCTCTTTTGCAGTGTCCTCCCAGAAATATTGACTAAGCTAAATGCCTGGGCCTGGCTGTATGGAGAACATGCTTTGCCCTCTCGACTTTGCTCCGCCTTAAGTAGTACCGAAAAGAAATCGAAAGTCTAAACAGTCAGCAGCAATACTATAAATTCATAAAGATGAATGATTTTTTAGGGCCTACTGCTTAATAAGTTACTATAATATAAACGGCACAGATTAGATCTAGATCAATAGTTTGTACAAGAATTTCTTATTGTTCAAGAAACTCATTCAATCATTCATTCTTTCTTTTCAACTTCTTCATCAATGAACAATGCTTACTCAAGTTACTGGCTTACTTTACTTAAATAACTTTTTAAAATACATTGTCCATTGTGATTACTATTATTACTTACCAAGAGTGATAGACACCAGGTTTCCTGCCTCTTTTAACTGCATAGTACCAACTTGTTTCCTTTGGCATTACGCAAGTGGAACGTATTGAGCGTGAGAGAACAGCATGGAGAAAACGTTGCATGAATTCACTGTCTCGTATACCATTCACCGCAACTGCTGCCGGGAAGTAGCCTAAGGAAGAAGAACTAGATCTACTTTCGTTTCTTTGCCGAAGTATAAAACATATTGGTTACTTTAGTGGCAAGAGAGCTCTAATAGAAAAACCTCATCAACAAACGTTTAATTCGAAACGTAGACTTAAACATGTTACATCAATAGCAAAACATTAAACTTTTTGATATGCATTTATCGACCTAAAAAACATTGCATGCAATTAAAGATACCTGTTTCTCAGATTTACAGGCAAGTTTTGTCACAATCGGCGTGATTATAATATATTCAAAATGCGAAACGGATCCGAATGCGAAATGGTTTGGGAAGGCCGACTTGATGTCGAGCACTGTAAACAGTTCTACTTCCTTTTCCGGTTGGCGATCGCCTCAAAGGTACATGAAAGGTAGAAGAACGTCCACTTTTCTTATTAATTCTCACTTAATTTCTAATTCTAGGTAAATCATAAAGTGATACATTGAAAGATATATAATTAGTCATCAAATGTAGCCCTGTGAAAGTCCTTGATTAATTGTGGTAACTACGATATGAGCCCGATTGCGTCCATACTTCTGTTGCAACCACCAAGCCAAACAACTCATCACTGCCGAACATGATTCTCAGCAATCACGGAGTCCTGATTCAAACATACATTTTGAGCCTTTCAGAGTTACTATATGCATTTTTAATTTGAAAGAAACTAGTGTTGTTTGCTTGACTGTTGTTACTGATAAATTTTTGTCTAATCTATTTCTTTCAGATGTATTCGGCGAATGCAAAAATAGTCAAGCCTCAGGGCGAAAAGCCTGATGATTTCGAGTCATCTATCAGCCAGGTAGGCCCAGTCCTTTTTAGTTTTGTTAGTTTAGTAGATCTAGATTTAGATCTAGATCTAGTTTAAGAGTAGTGTTGTCCTTTGAAATTATCCATACTTCGTTCTACCCCATAATTGGCTTAATATGACTTAAGTACTTTTCCTCTATCTCACAGAAGGACCTCCATGAGCGACCACCCCACCAACAAACATGATTTCATTAAAGAAGAGACCAAACCCTACCCCTGCCCGTCTTTTCTGCACTGTCTCTCAGTGGTCGCCTGTTACGGAAGTCTTCCCTCTCTTACACTTTTCCTGCACTTGATCATGAATGCCATGTCATGACTCATAATCTTGTTGCGATGGTGCACCCATTTAGCTCATATATTCATATATAGATCTAGTATATAGATCTAGAATCTAGATCTATTTCAAATTCAAATAGGCCTATAGATATCTAGATCTAGACATGGCTGTCTTTAAACTAAGTCAGCAGGGATCTAAGATTAGTCCCCAATCTAAGCTGATAAGCTACCTGTAAATAAGATAGAATGAAGTTTCCATGTTCAAATGTTTTTTAAATCAGATAAATGAGAGACATTCTGGCCAAACTGAAACTGGCATCATAATACCAGTGAATGCATGTCTGTGGGCTTACGGATGGTGTTTCAGGTGTGTATCTTTCTTCGCAAATGTTTTGCCATTGAACTTGGCGAAAATTATAATGGTCACCTCTATTCTCACCCGGAGTGAGAATAGTGCAGGCGAGTCTTGTGGCTATTCTCACCCGGTGCGCGTTTACCAAATTTTGCGTTCACCCTAAACCACAGAATTCTACACTGTGATAACAGAAAAATTATAGAATTCTGTGCTGTGAACAAACGTTCCATTACAACTGTAGCCTATTAAAAGCGTACAATTTTGTCTGTGGGCAGTGGAGAGAGAGTAGCGCGAGAATTTCCGGGCAAAACAAAATGGCGACCCGCGTAGTTCGGCTCGATTCGAAAAGTTAAATAGCCGTAGCATCTTTGTAGACAACCAAATTAATTTACTTTTGTGTTTTAACATCATTTTTTAACTTTGTTTTGGTCAATTTGATCGTCCACACCGATAGACAGTATTCAGAAAGAGAGAGAGAGAAGAGGGGAGGAGTTGATCTTGCGAGAACTTCCGGGCGGGTGAGAATAGCCACTTTCAATTATAATAGTCATAGCATAGATTAGGCCAGGCTAGGGTGGGCATATTATGAATTAGGTTCTGACCTAATTTAATGTGTTTGGTCAGCATGGGTTTGTTTTGTTTTTCTAGTGTCAAGATATTCCTGTAGGCCACCTCTATTCTCACCCGGAGTGAGAATAGTGTAGGCGAGTCTTGTGGCTATTCTCACCCGGTGCGCGTTCACCAAATTTTGCGTTCACCCTGAACCACAGAATTCTACACTGTGATAACAGAAAAATTGTAGAATTCTGTGCCGTGAACAAACGTTCCATTACAACTGTAGCCTACTAAAAGCGTACATTTTTGTCTGTTGGCAGTGGAGAGAGAGAGGAGTAGCGCGAGAATTTCCGGGCAAAACAAAATGGCGACCCGCGTAGTTCGGCTCGATTCGAAAAGTTAAATAGCCGTAGCATCTTTGTAGACAACCAAATTAATTTACTTTTGTGTTTTAACATAATTTTTTAACTTTGTTTTGGTCAATATGATCGTCCACACCGATAGACAGTATTCAGAAAGAGACAGAGAGAGAGAGAAGAGGGGAGGAGTTGATCTTGCGAGAACTTCCGGGCGGGTGAGAATAGCCACTTTCATTCCTGTACAAGGACAAAGCAGTTTCTGTTATTTATTTTGTATTTGGCAGTTTTCAGTGTTTATGCCAAGGAAGTGGCTATTCTCACCCGAGGTGAGCATAAAAATACGATCTACCTCTCACCCCGGGTGAGACTTGCCAGCGTAGGCTATTCTCACCCGGTGTGAAACAAGACCTGTTTTTCTTCATTTTGGAATACTGTCTATCGGTGTGGATGATCAAATTGATAAAACGAAGTGCAGGCCTATACAGACCCGGTAACCGGGAACAAAGTCACGAAGTATACAGGCCCGGTAGGGGAACTCTTTTGCGATTTCGGAAAGTTTCAGCGCCCAGACCCGGTAGTTTGTGTGTGTGTGTGAGTGAGAGAGAGGAGAGCAGAGGGAAGTGCTTGCAAAATGTATGACACAGTTGGCAGGAGGGAACGAGAGAAAGATAGAGTGGGAAATACGAGGGGAGAAAGACAGAGACCCCCAAAAAAAAGAGAGAATGCGAGCGATACACAGAGGCAGAGGAGGGAGAGAGAGAGGGGGGGGGGGATGACTGCTTGATTTAAATTATGACATTGTTCTTTTCTTCAAATTGTGATTCATCCAACTCCAAAACGGGGGAAAAACGATCGTTCGTCGAAAAGACATCCGCAATCTTCATTTAGGTTTAGATCTAGATATAGGCTAGCCTCGAAACTAGATCAATGATTTATATCTGTCGGTCTAGATCTAGACCTAGGCCATAGATATCTAGAAGAACCTAGTTTTACCCTGAGCCAAGAGGGCGCTGGAACTTTCCGAAATCACAAAAGAGTTCCCCTACCGGGTCTGTATACTTTGTGACTTTGTTCCCGGTTACCGGGTCTGTATACACTCCCTTGATAAAAACCAAGAAAAAATTACGTTAAAGCACAAAAGTAAGCTAATTGATCGTCTTCAAAGATGCTATGGCTATTTCACTTTTCGAATCGAGCCGAACTACGCGGGTCGCCATTTTATTTGTTTTGCCCGGAAGTTCTCGCAAGATCTACTCCTCCCCTCTCTTTCTCTTTCTGAATAATATCGGTGTGGACGATCAAATTGACCAAAACAAAGTTAAAAAATTATGTTAAAAAACAAAACTAAATTAATTTGGTTGTCTACAAAGATGCTACGGCTATTTAACTTTCCGAATCGAGCCGAACTACGCGGGTCACCATTTTGTTTTGCCCGGAAGTTCTCGCGCTTTTCCTCTCTCTCTCTCTCTTTCTCTCACCCAATTGCACGTTTTTAGGCTTACACTAACAGTAGTAATAGATCTAGAACGTTTGTTCACAGCACAGAATTCTATATTTCTGTTATCACTGTGTAGAATTCTGTGGTTCAGGTCAGGGGGAACGCTTCACTGGTTGGCCTAGGCTATAATGGTGAACGCCCACCGGGTGAGAATAGCCAAAAGACTCGCCTGCGCTATTCTCACCCCGGGTGAGAATAGAGGTGGCCTTATGCCAAATTATGCATCCTGTAAATCTAACTGCAACACTAACCCTATACTATTATAGGGTTTGGCAATTAACTTCAATGGTTCTGCTGATAATTAAGCATCAGGAGCCTTGTTCTATCCATGACCTATTTTCCTTTCCTGATGAGGGTTTGAGCATGCTCAGTGAAGAGCCAGGTCATGCAGCTGTGACGCCTGAACGATCAGAACTAAGCACTGTTTTCTTTACAACAGATCAAAAGTTTTTCTGGTAACTGTTCTGGAGCATTTATTGCAAGATTCGCAAGTGTTATACCAAGTTACAGTGGGGTAAACCTACAGAGATAAATAATCCTTCTGGAAATTGTAGGAAGTCACATAGTGGGGACTAACCCCCAATGTTTTGGGGGGGGGGGGGGGGATATTGTCTGATTTCTGCATTTTTTTCAATCATTTGCCCTGATATTTTATCTTCTGATTCTTTTTTTTTTCAAACCTCAATTCGACAGAATGTCACCATGAAATATTTTGTGAAAAACATGCTTGTTTCAAACAAATGAAATCAGTGTTTGGATAGAAAGATAGGTGTGTTTTTTCCTTGATGCTTTGGAGCTTTTGTTTCTAAAGAATTCACTTGTAGTTTCAGCTGAAGTTTTAGAATGAACAAAAGTAACATCAGTTATGATACCATGCATTGTAAAGTTACTGGAAACTCATTGAAATTTCTTTGTATGCACACAAACACTTATATAGCTTGTGGAGACATAGGGCCCTGGGGATGCATATATGATTGCACAAGATAGGCGATTGTGATGCACAGATGTGGAACTTGCAGGAAAAAGATAGTGCTCAAAAAGCTTTTATCAGTGTGAAAATACACTGGACCGGCATGATATGAATCAATGGAATCTAAATCAGAAGTAGTCTTTAGTCATCTCGCAGAGAGGGATTTGTCTTAACAATGGCAGTAGATGTTACAAAAGTTTGACTTAAAGGTGCACTCACGCAAACGCACAAGACGGGACATTAGGCTAAGTAAATACATGTCTCACGTGCTGGGACAACCCGCTCCGTAAAACCTCTCTCTCTCTCTCTCTCTCTCTCTCTCTCTCTCTCTCTCTCTCTCTCTCTCTCTCTCTCTCTCTCTCTCTCTCTCTCTCCCTCTCTCTCCCTCTCTCTCCCTCTCCCTCTCTCCCTCTCCCTCTCCCTCCCTCCCTCCCTCCCTCCCTCTCTCTCTCCCTCTCTCTCTCTCTCTTGTAGCACTGTGTGTTCAGTAACCTCACTGCAGTTGGTACGAATGAATTTCTATATCTGTCTGTTCTTGCTTTTTGGAAATGTATCGTTTACTGCGGGTCGATAGTTGAAATTCTGATGTCAGTGGGTGGCTATGGTGCAGGCCGGTGTAAGGATTTTAGTTGATCTACAAGTTGGTTCCTGTGTTTGGAGAAAACAAGGAAAGTGGCTGTGCTTGGACTAGTTGTGTACTGATACTAATAATAGCTCGTCCATCAAGGTCTGATGATTACCAATATATCGCACTAGTACAGGCTTCGTAAAATCAAAAATCTTCTTCTTACCTGCCCACAAGCAGTGGCATTTCTGCTTATTCAGCAAGCTACAGCATACCCTAGGGCAGGGGTGAAAATGCTTGCTGAATAAAAGCAGTTTTCTCACTGTTATTCATTTTGTCATACACTACTGTCAGCCTGCTTTTAGTGAAAGCTATGATCTCAAGTGCTTTTTTTTTTTTTGTCTACAGGCTCTGCTTGAGCTGGAGGTGAACTCCGACCTGAAGGCTTCGTTGTATGAGTTGTTCATTACTGGAGCTAAGGTGAGTTATTATGGAATTTTTTTTTTTTTCATGGTGCTGACTTTTTGGCTAAGGATAGTGTCTGTTGCCACCGAGTAAATTGCTCTTTTGCGTTGGTGAGTATGTATGCTCGATGTTCTGCGTTCGTGAACTTTCGCTTACGCATGCCTCTGTCCCCCTGTGTGTGTGTCCCGTCACTTGGGTGCCGGATTTTTGTTTCCATATATGCGTATTTTGGCATCTCAACTTCCGTCCAGTCCTGTATCAATCCGGCTCCTGGCTGAGTGCACACGTGCCGAACATCACCCATGCTTTGTTGGGTCCCGTATTCCCTCAGTTCAAGCATGTGTGCGTCAGTCTACTTGAATTTGTGTGTGTTTGTGGCCTACTTCTAAAATAGCCTGTGTTGGTTCTACATCGAAGCGCAGGCTAGCCTACGTCTCATTAAAAAAACATCAAGTTAGTAGCTCCAGACATTTTACAGCAATAAAGAAGACATGTGAGGCGCCTGTGTGGTCGGCGATCAACCCGCAGGCCCACTTAGTTTTCGAACCACAGAGGAAATTCGCACCAAGACTGCAATTTCTCTGGTTCTAGAAATCGTTCGGGATTGTACAGTGGCATGTTGTTAGTTTACCCTTTCCTCTGATTGGTTGCCGAGTTTCGTTTATTTTCGTCCGCGAGTTTTCCCGTAACTACTTAGAAGAGAGTCACTTTTGATCCCAAGGAGCCCAAAAATTGCCCCTGGCGCGGAGGCCGATTTCCGGCCCAAGGTGCAGCGGGCGATTGGCATTGCTAAAGAATTTGAGTGCAAAACATTCGGAAATTGACCTATATTTCCTTTCGAACCCCGGGATGTGTGTAACTACTCGTTATGACATCAATTTATGAGAGGGGATTTGATCTATAACTTATTCATGTGTTCATAACACATTATGAATAGAAAGTTTTATAAAAGATAGAGCATTGTTGTCAGACTTTTGGCTTTTCACTCTTATTGATGTATTGAATTGTTTTTTCTCAGGAGGTGGATATGCAGGGCAAGAAAGCCATCGTGATCTTTGTCCCTGTGCCACAAATCAAAGCTTACCAGAAAATCCAGACTCGTCTGGTGAGAGAACTCGAGAAGAAGTTCAACGGCAAGCCTGTTGTTTTCATTGCCCAGGTGAGAGAAATATTTAAGTGTATTGTATTTGAGCTGAGGAGTTCCTACATGTGCTTATTTTAAGGACAAGCAGGCTAACCCAGATTTCGGAGGTTTCCAGAAATCTTGACCTACTACACCAAAAATGGGCATTGCCCTACGTATAGAAGTTTGGTTTCGTTGTGTATATTTGTTTGGTTATGTAGAAAAAACTCCTTGTCTTTTAAAGAAACTGAACAAGGGGCAAAAATTTTACCTTTGATTTTCTCAAAACATTTTGCGGGATAGCAACTATGCCCTTAAAAGCGACCGTATATAGTGAGTACTTTTTGAGTTGAGGTGTGAATGTCCTTTTGTCTTCTGGAATCTGGCAGTTCCCTTCTGTAATTCTTAGTTTTTTTGTAGAGTTCTTATTTTCTATCTGGAGAAACTTATTTTCCAACTGTTCTTAAAACATTGGGGGGGGGGGTTCGAATTGTGCAAGGGATTTGATTATGATCATCCCTAATTTTTTTCTAAAACCATGAGTCATGGTCATGTGTTTCACGTCTTTAGCTGCGGAAGTGGCTGTGCTCAACCTTCCTCTGGAAAATGTTTATACCCATTTTAGCAATCGTAGTGGTTCTGAGAAAAAATAGCCCTTTCTGTATGTATTTATTTTTTAATTTTCAGAGGAGGATCCTGCCGAAACCAACAAGAAAGAGTAAGAGGCAGAACAAGCAGAAGAGACCAAGAAGGTAAGCATTTTTTGTGACATTTGAAAAACCGTCAAACCTGAGCTGGCCTCCTAATGATGAGAGAAAGCTTGATGCAATGCTGTGTTCACCACAGAATCCAGTGTTTTTCTCTCTCCTCGGCCTCCTAAATCTATCTATTACAATTTAATTCCAAATATTAGTCTATTTCTTCTGTTTACTACCATACCGATTGTCTTAGACTAGGGCTTACCTATCATTGAAAACTGAATGATCGTAGTGCTTAAGTATACAATGAAACGCAGGCTTTGTAAAAACACACTTCACTCGAGTGCTTGTTTTGTCTGATCATATTTCGGATTGTTTGTGCAAGGTGCACTGTAAGGTGTATGAATTGATAGGGCTCGTTCTGACTTAACTAAGCAAGCTGCTTGCTTCTGCAAATCTGAAAGCATCTCGTTATGTATGTCTGACTATTCAGTAGCTGGGCAAAACATTTTTGTCTGCACCTCCTCTGCTGGTGATCCCCGCACACATACAAGCAACCCTTGCCCGCCAGTACATGTCCTGGTTGTCCATCCAGCACGGACATATTTCTTGAGCGGTGTCCTCAACACATGTTTAATGTTATTGAAGGCTTATGATTGGTTACAAAAGATGGCGGTGTGTTCCTGATAGGTCAGGCGTGTGCCGTGCGTGATATGCTTGAAAGATGTAGCGTAAAGATCCACAGTGTGGTGTGGCTGGTGATCCTTTGAGATAGAGTAATCTGGATAAAGTTCAATGTGGAAGAAAAATACAGGATGCAACATCTGTGGTGGTTGTTCATTCTGTAAGTGACATGGCTGAGTTCGAATTAGCTGAAGTTAATGTTTGGTGAGGTTGTTTTTTAAATATTTTTTGGGGGGTAGGTGTTTTATGGCGCTCGCAACTGCATAAGGTCATATGAGCGCGCGGGACACATCTAATATTTTCAGTTTGTCATAGCTGCCACTTTCCCGCTAAATAGCGGAAACTCCGCTTCATCTAGCTTTTCCCGCTATTTTCCTCCTTCCTCCGCTGGACCGCTCTCAGTCGCAAATTGTGAACCCTTTTTTTTTTATACGCGGAAAACACCGAACCGGGAGAGAGACGAAAACGCAGCTTGCGCATGTCCGCCCGTAGCTTTCTACTTCCGTTCTTCTAGGCCTAGCGCTAGTTTCACTTTGTTTAATATTGTGAAGCAACAAAATCAGTGTCGATCGGGCATCGGGACGTTGGCGTGCCGAGTTGTCATTGAGAACGGTGGAAATTCGAGAGAAATTGATGCAGAATGCAAAAATAAAAGGAGCTGGAATGAGAAAGAAGCAGCCGGTGTGCGACTTGAAAAGTTAATTAGAAAATTGAACAAGCCGGCGGCGGCACTCCTGTACAATTGCAGTCCCGTTTGTTTACATGACGGCTATTGTGGCTGTTGAAGTGAATCTAGATCTAGATAAATAATCTATCTCTAGATATAATCTAGATTTACACATTTAGATATCTAGATTCTAGATCAAGATTAGATAGCCTAGGCTATAATTTTAATTCAGTTTAGGTCTACACACTACAGGGGCGCTACTAAGTTAAGTGCAAACTGGACCGCAATTGTGCAGGAGTGCTCAGTACAGCGGCAAAGGTGTTGCCTCCTTGATCGATGTACAAGTTTAAAGTGGAAGAAATCTTTTTTTAAGACACCAGCTGGCAACAAACACTGGATTTTTAGCCACAAAGTCCAAACTGTGTCAAATTGACTCAAATGCTTGTTAGTCAACTTAGTGCCCTTTTTTTTTTTTTTTTTTTTTTTCCAAATACATTTTAATTCAGTTACCTATGGTTAACAAATATGACAGTTTTCATTTCCAAAACCATAGGCTAGATTTTCCAGTATATAAACATGTATTGCCTCTGGATCTCACTGGTTTTACTCCGGCCTTCGGAGAGCGCGCGTCCGCCTTCGCATGAATTTCATCCTTTTTTGAAATTCCCAAGTGGCAGCTATGGTTGGTAGGAAATTTTGAATTTTGCCTAGGTGGTGGCCGAAGCCTACTCTTATCAATTTTAGACCGCCAAGGGATCTTTAATGTGCGCAACTTGCACACGGGACCTCCGAGATTTTCCGCCCTTGTCAGAGAAGGCTAAGTGTAGATCTTTCCTACCAGAAGATCAGGGGTGTTGCTGAAAGAATGCAGCAAGGAGCCAAGGAGAAGCAGTATAAAGATCCAGGAGCCAAAAGGAGGGGGTGAGTGGACGGGGCAGAAAGTGAAGACGAAAGCAGAGATGACAATATGGCTAGAGAGCAGGAAAGGGGGTGAAAGGAGACAATTTTAAAGAAGAAAATTTTTCAGTCGCCACCCGGTACATTTTGAATGAGAGGCGAACACCTTAACCTCTAGTCTAGGCCACGAGAGTCCCCCTTTGGTGAGGTTTAACAATTTAAGAAACTATTCTTTCGATCGATTGGTTTGTAAATGAGAATTTCACATGTTTGGTGTTGTGTTTCAGCCGTACTCTGACTTCTGTACATGATGCTATTCTGGAGGACTTGTGCTACCCTGCTGAGATTGTCGGCAAGAGAGTGCGTGTCAAGTTGGACGGCTCTCGCGTTATCAAAGTGCATCTTGACAAAAGCCAGCAAAACAATGTTGAGCACAAGGTATGTATATGTTTTTGTGTGGGTGGTATTTGTCATTCAACCTCATAAACAGTGGTTTGTCATAATTGTGTACACATATAAACATTTCTATGAAAACTGAAAGACCCAGGGATGCTTTTACTTTCACAGAAAAAAGATTAAAACAGTTACTCTCAGCATTTGTTTTTTTTTACCCAACCCCACATTGTGTCTATTAACTCTTTTTGTTTGCAAATATGCAATTCGTAAATTTTCAGTTATTTTCACAAAATCCCAGTGGCATCCCTGAAGATCATTTCAGTATCAGCACTTATACCTGACATGGACACATTTGTCTCTCACACTACCTCAGGTTGGATGCTATCTGGTAACCGTGAGATGATGAAAGCTTTAATCCATTCTCTGACTGTGGTCCAGTCTGTGGGGAGCTCTTGAGAGTCAGAAGTGGGACGCTCTTGACTCTTGGAGGTTTTCTCTGAGAGTCCAATCCTGCTTCTTTCTTGACCCCACAGTCTGGTCCTAGAGGCTGCTCTCACCTCTTATGATGGAAAAATGGCTCTGATCACCCAATGGAAACTTTTCTGAATATTTGTCAGCATAGGTTGGAATTCCCCACCTCATCTTGTGTGGTTCAAGATTTGAAATATAAAACCTCATTTGTAGCTTGCTTTTTCGTCTAGAAAAAATTTGTCTTCAGAGCTTCCACAGAAGATAAGAGTTCCCATATTTAAAAAAAAAACTAGCTTGCAAGAGGGTTCTGCTAGTACAAAAGACAGATTTTGGTGTTGTATGCTAGTCAGGTTGCTGAGGCTATCTTTTGCTGTTCATGAAAATGTTTTCCCGTCAATTGTAGTTTCCATCACCCGGGGCAGTGCTACTGACTGAAGTGTCTTCATAGGCCATTCCCAAAGGGGGGACATTAACCTGTTCTTAGGCACAGTAGAATTGTAATTGTAAATGGGCTGATTCATCGATGTCATGCTCATAACTGCTTGAACTGCAACAGGGAACTGCTGCTTTTTCTTTCCTAATCCTTACTATCGTCTTATTTCCTCTACTTCTTTTGTAGACTTGTATCTTATTTTGAGTTATGCGCATACATGAATTGTATCACAAATTGTCCCGGGTTGGTATCCAGGCTAATTGGTAACCGTGAGATGACGAAAGCTTTAATCCATTCTCTGACTGTGGTCCAGTCTGTGGGGTGCTCTTGAAAGTTAGAAGTGGGACGCTCTTGACTCTTGGAGGTTTTCTCTGTGAGTCCAATCCTGCTTCTTTCTTGACCCCACAGCCTGGTCCTAGAGGCTGCTCTCACCTCTTAAGATGGAAAAATGGCTCTGATCACCCAAACGATAACTTGAAATTGGCTTTTCTGATTATTTATCTGCACAATAGTTTGGAATTCCGCATCTCATCTTCTGTGGTACAAAAGAAATATATAAAGCCTCATTTGTAGCTTCCTTTTTCGTCAAGAAAATGTTGTCTTATGAGTTTGCATAGTTTCCGCCAAGATAAGTGTTCCCTTATTTTTTTCTAAAAACTAGCTTGCAAGAGAATTCTGCTAAGTGTAAAAGACAGATTTTGGTGTTGTATACTAGTGAGGTTGTTTAGGCTCTTTGTAAAAATATGTTTCTCTACCAACTGCCAATTGTAAATGTAGTTTCCTTTGCCTTTCTCGTTGATTGTGGTTCTCTTGGTCTATCTGAGCATAGTGTTGTTGACTCTTTTAACAGGATTTCTAGATTTTTCTGGTGAAAGGGTCTTTGATTCCTGTTGTTTGTTTTTTTAATTAAAAAAATGTTTATATTAAAGAGAAGCCCTGGAGTAGACTTGTGTCTATTTTTAGTTCAGGGTCCCCACCAGGTTGGGAAATCGGGGGAAAGTCGAGAATTTTGAGATTGGTCGGGGAAAAAGTTGAGAAATTTGTGATGGGTCGGGAAAGGGTAGGGCCTGTGTAATGCAAGTGTCTTGACAGGTTCGCCCTCGTGACCGGTCAATGAACCTGTGAGTACCGGCGGTCTGGGCGCTGTGAAGTATAGGACCTCTTTATAGTATACACTCGTGGAAGGGGATTGGGGGGGGGGGGGGGGCTGAAGGCGATGCTAGAGGACAAAAACTGAACTTGGAAGCAAATTTTTAGCATTTTGCTAACTACTTTAGAGCTCTCTGCAAAGCGCGCGTTGGTGCAGGCCTTGTGTGGAATCGGGATCCGTATGCCTTGTTATTGAACTAAAGTGTTCGCGTTTCATTGGATGGGGTGATTGTGATTTATTTATCTATATTTTAGCTTTCTGTTCAAGATTGGCAGATTTTCAGTGTCATTGCATCTTGCCCTCCCTCAGTTCTTACACCTCTCACACTGAATAGGTGTACTTGAGCTATTCTAGTTATTACTAATATACTCTACTTTGAGTTTGAGCAATAGTTTTCGTCTTCACGTTTATTTTATGAATCATGACACCCAGACTGGTTATTGACAGTCGATTTTCTAGTTCTAGGTCTTTTCTCAGGCTCAAAACAGGATTCATTTTTATATAGGGCCTATAGTTTATGTTGGCTAATATGATGAGGGGAAAATATAAATAAGTCAGAACAGACTGAAATACCATGGTCTCTCAAGATCCCAGTGCCACACTGACATGTTGTTGACTGGATATAATGTACCTACATGTGTGTGTATTCACAAACATATACATGTATTATGTTAGATATAAATGGAGCACACGCTTTCATTGTTATGAAACGTGTTCCTGGAAAATGGATGAGGCCTCTCCCTTGGAAAATTGAGAACCTTGATTGGCAGTCACCCAGTATTATAGTCATCTATTGTTTGGAGACTATACTACAAAATGTACATTTGCATTCATTTATAGACATTTTGACTTTTTATCATTGATAGATTGGCTTTTTTTTTTTTTGATCATTCTTGACGCGCAGCGGCCTGATTTTTTCCTCGAATTGGGGTCATGAAAAAATTTTCCAGGATTTGGTGGGGACCCTGTTAGTATGCGTATTCATGAAATTGTATCACACATTGTCCGGGGTTGGTATCCAGGCTATCTGGTGACCGTGAGATGAAGAAAGCTTTAATCCATTCTCTGACTGTGGTCCAGTCTGTGGGGAGCTCTTGAGAGTCAGAAGTGGGACGCTCTTGACTCTTGGAGGTTTTCTCTGGGAGTCCAACATTCCTGCTTCTTTCTTGACCCCACAGTCTGGTCCTAGAGGCTGCTCTCACCTCTTAAGATGGAAAAATGGCTCTGATCACCTAATATATGTACTGAAATTTGATATCTTATGGAGAACCCAACGACAAATTTTACAGGAGCAAAGTATATAATATTAAGATTTATTAATAAAACGGCTTAAATTTGCACTCTCGTGAAAATATATGCATGGTTGTTTTTTGTCAAGAGTAGTTTCACTTGCCGTTCTCATCAATGGTGGTTCAAGCAAACCTTTGTTCAAGGCTGATCTGAATTGATCATAGGAAAGTACAATGAGCATGGGTTATTCATATTTACTTCAGCAGTTGTATTTCTGGTTTGAAAGTGAAGTTCCCTTAAATACCGGAATGACAGAGATCATTCGAGCAAACAATTTAGCTTATCCGTATGTCATGTTTTACAATCGTATCCATACGACATGGGTAACTCTGTGCCCCCGCTTTCCAAAGAGGAAATTTACTCCTTAATCCGCTTTGTATAGCAATTTGTCAAACGATTTTTTTAGAAATACTGAAAGTTTCAAAGAGATCTTCGCACTAGAAGTATTCTAAAATGTGGAGAATACAACCCGCCCCTTGGGTACAAAATGACCCCAGGCGTGTGGAAGGGTTAATATTCTTGATAGTCATAAATCAGGAATATAACTGATTTTTATATTTTCTGTGATGTGAGCCTTTGCCGTTATTGGTTGTGAAAGAAATTATGATTTATTAAAGCACTGCAGAGGTTCTTTCTTGAGCTGTGTTTTGCATTCATCCACTGTATTTCCTGTCATTTTTTAAATCAGAGAACGTTTTTGTCCCATAAAGTTATTTTTGATGAAAAAGACAATGGAGTTTCTCATTTCCAGTTAAAATTGAAAACTTTTAAAAACTTCCCTCTCACGTTGCGCTCAGATTTTCTGGTATTCGTCTTAGTCCAAAACATTCGATATTGCTTTGAGAATACATTTGCAATTTTGTTTGCTAGTACTAGTACGAAAGGAAAATATAGAGGGGTAGGCAAACGGTTATAAATGTAGTTATTCAGTAACTAATTTTATTGGACCTCTCAGCGCAGCATGGGCATGTTGTGTAATGACTTTTCAATGCACCACTCAGCCTGGGCAAGTTTAGCTCAAAGATTGGCCATTGCCAATGTGTTCGATCAGTGTGAAAGTGGTGTCAATTGTTTTCCTCTCTGACTGTGAGATGATGAAAGCTTTAATCCATTCTCTGACTGTGGTCCAGTCTGTGGGGAGCTCTTGAGAGTTAGAAGTGGGACGCTCTTGACTCTTGGAGGTTTTCTCTGAGAGTCCAATCCTGCTTCTTTCTTGACCCCACAGCCTGGTCCTAGAGGCTGCTCTCACCTCTTAAGATGGAAAAATGGCTCTGATCACCCAACTGGTTCAAGCTTTTCGTTCTCTGAAGTCAAGTGTGTGCCGTTTTAATTAAATTCACAGCACCAAGTAATAGGGAATGTGATAAGCTTGTTTCTGTTTTCCCCGTGCATGTTCAGGTCTTAACTTATATTATGGGAACTTATTTTAATTGACTGACTTCAGTTCGGTTGAAATCACAGTTTAAACATGGCTGCTGGCATTTCAAGGGTGTTTTGCTAGTTTTAGAACATTTGTTCTCCTCAGACTATTCAGAGTGGACAATTATAATGTTCACTATTTTTCTTTTTTTTCCCCCTTATTTTATGCAGGTGAAAACATATTTTCAATTTATGTCATACTTTTTGTTATTGTATGATTATTTAAAGTTTTGATGAAAATAAAGTCAGAATTACTCAGCCACTGATCTGGGAAGCGTATGGAGCAACCTCAAAGACACTATTTTACTCCCTTCCTAACAATGATTGGAATAAAAAGCCAGTTGCTATAGTGACCATCTGATATGCCTTGCTCAATATCAGATCCCATATAAACAAAGTTTTTTTATTTAGAGACTGGACGATGGTATGTGTAATGTGAGTTCATCCTAAAATCGGGGAAACACAAAAACCCTCCACAAAAGCTATACAAATGGATCAAGGGATGCAACTGTGGAATGAAACATATATTGCTTGCCATTCTGTAACTTGTGAGACTGCTTGCGGGTCAGTGAAGAGTATGAAAATAGTGACAAATCAAAACTTGACAGGGGACGTTTTGTGTAAGTCTAGGCCTACTAATGTAGTGTCAGTGAGTTGATGTGGCAGAGACTTAAATGTTTTTATTTTGAACTAAATGTTTTTGTTTTTTCTTGTCTTTCTCAGCTGGACACATTCACCTTTGTATACAAGAAGCTCACAGGCAAGGATGTCACATTCGAATTCCCCGAATTCATGTTGTAAGGTGAAAACTAAGAATAAATGAATTAAAACTAATTCTCATTGTCTTTTGTTGTGATTTTTGTTTATTGTACTTTTTTGTTAGTTGGCTCATTATGTGATGAGTAAGAGGTATGGATTCTACAAGGTTGCTCAGCCGGTAAGGAAGGAAAAAGTTTTCAGACTTCCTGGTCAGGAAACTAAATAGGAGAAAGCTATGAAATCAAAAGGGCTGCTCATCATTGTGAACTTCATGGATTCATTGCGCCCCCTACCCTCATATTTTATATAAATCTGGGTGGTCACTAGGCCCCAAGAATGACCCTGGAATCTCACTAAAATCGCTAATAACTGGGAATTGAGTAAATTTGTAAACTACCATGAGAAAGTACATTGAGCTCTGCAATGTTTGAAAAATTAAATCTGGTAAGGTCAGTAAGTTCATATTTTGCCGGTGGCGTTTGTGGTAATAATTCGTCTTTCCCTGTTCCGAGGATGCGTTTCACACAAACTAGTGGCTCTGACTGAAGTGTCTTTAGGCCATGGGGGGGGGGGGGGCATATCTCGTTCAAGCATAGTAGAATTGTAAATGGGCTGACTTATGTCACGCTCATAACTGTGCCTGATCTACAACAGGGAACTGCTGCTTTTTCTTTCCTCATCCTTACTATTGTCATTTCCCTCTACTTCTTTTGTATGTTTGTCACTCCCTTGTGACCTGCTATTTTGGGGTGCCTTGATAGTCGAAGCAGACCTTGTGCTGTTGATGCTAGACAGGTGAGCAGTCTAAGTCTGATTCCCTGTTAAGACTTCTGTTGACACCCACCCCTTGGCGCTCATATGACCTTATGCAGTTGTGAGCGCCGTTTAACCCTCTACTATTTAAAAAAACCAACAGTGGTTGTGGCGGAGGTGCACCTGGGAGATCGAAGTTTGGCAGTCTTGATCTAGTAAAATGATGATCGGCTTTCGTTGCTGCTCAGAATTTCCTAGTGGTTGTATGATAGCCGTAGTAGTGCCATATGATGATAATAGTTGGTCCGTCAATGTCTGGCGATGACCAAAGCATTCACAGATGAGAATATTTCTTAAGTGAAATAGAATTGGAAGAATTAAAGGTTAGGATGACTTTATGGCTAATGAGGCCAATTCTAGCAGAGAAAAATGTGTCACATAAAGTTCTACTTCCACTTGTGGGTGTGGCACAGCTTATGAGCTTCTGTCTTGGTTTCAGCTTTTCTTATTCATGAAGCCTTGTGTAACTTATTGGATTCTGTGACTGCAACTCTTCATCGGGGTCTGTCAGGAGCTAGGATCTCCTGTGTTGTAGACTTTATGTTGGAAGGTCTTCAAAGACATTTTTAGGGTGTCTCAAAACTTGTACACTTTGATCACTTTCGTCTGACTGCGTTTAAAACAAAACAAAATCAAATCACTGTTTAAACTTCTCAGATCTTTGCATAGCCTACTTGGATGACGAACAGTCTAAAAGCCTATTCATAAAGGTCACTGCAAACTGGTTCCGACACGCTTTCTTTGATATCGGCCCAAAGCAGGTTGAAAAAAAATTTACAGCGTATACACCTAAAACATTAAAAGTTTGATATATTTTCATCTACACATTTTAATGCATTACAGAAACGTGCCCAACGCATGGGTGAGTTTTTTTAAAGACTCATTTATTTGGGCCCTATATTTTTTAAAACTTGCTCTTTTGAGTGCATACACAGGATCATTAAAATTCAATATAATCCTATTATTATATCGACATATTTTCCAGTTACGAAATTGTTCCTTCCATATCTTCACTAAACAATTTCTATTGTATATCGACTTTTTTTTCGGCCCTCTCCGCTCTATCAACATGCTTCCTGGGTACCTGGCGAAGCCCACGATCATAATACATGGTGGGAAAAGCCACGCCAACGATCAACGCATCAGTTGTTCAATCAAACCCGCCAAGTAGCTGATATCGACACACCATGCTTTAGTAGGTCATGTGTGGCCTACACACAGTGTAGTCTCCAACACAGTACAGCTCCACACAGACGTGAGCGACTATGTCTTTGGTACACAAAATAACTCCAATCTCACCCCACCCCCTTCCCTCTGCCTCTTGTTTGTTTCACTGAGTAGTTGTGTAAGCCTACATCATCTTCGTGGACCTTCGAGATCTATTCTTAGCTTCACGTCTTCATTCTCTCACTGCATGTTGCAGAAGCAATGTTGTCTTTTTACCGCTGACCTCCCCTTGTTATTTCCTCTTTGGCTTTATAATTTCATTTATCGTCATTTTTATTTTATATATCACATCTCCATGCGAGTAAATGTTTTTAACGTGGACTGAAGGAAGCGAACAAGCTATTTTTATATAAAGCGCTTTTTTAGTGCACCAACTTTGTTCTTCCTCGAGGTTGTTCAGAATAGAATAAGCTACTGCCTTTGGGATTCTGACATCAGGCATTCTTGTTCATGATCTCCCTCCTCGGCTCCTCAACAAGGCAATTATCAAGTTAAAGTCTCTCCACACAAAACCGCATAGATGTACCAAAAAATTCGTCAAACTATACCTGGACTTGGAGGGAAAAAAATCATTTAACAGGAGGCTCTGCCCTAAGGCCTTGTTTATTTATTTTAAATTTTAAAAATTACTTGCAGAGATCACTGTCATTGACCATCGTTTCTCATTGTCTCTGATTCCTTGTCTACTACTTCACTCACCAATTTCACTCTTTATTAACTCTAAAATAAGTTATTGCACTTGATTCCTTGACTGAACAGGAGACACTTATTATGTTTTCATGGCTACCTAGCCCTGTGGGCATCTGAGGAAATGAGCAGGCCGTTGATTCTCTGGGGAAGGAATCCTTGTTCCTTCTCTGGGGATCAGTGGAGAACACTCTTCTACTAGTCTACAGACTTTAACTTTAATAAAAAATAATGTTGCAAAGTAAAATCAAGTCCGTGAGATTAAAAAAGGAGCAAGCATGTAGGCTAAATAAAAAACTCCTCTTCAGAAGAGACGGAATTATTTTAACCTGTGCCCCTCACTGGACATACCTACCTGATGCATGGTCCAATTTTGTGCTGATGATGGCATAAAAACATCTTATTTCTCTCTCCTTTATTCATTTTCTATTCATGTCTCTTTCTACTACAGTGGGTGTTGCATTCAACGAGAAGTCGGCTCCAACGAGGCAATCCTTGATCCCCGATTTTTCCTCTATATCTCTTTGTAAATATACGTCAGCTCCAACGAGGTTGCAAACAGACGAAAGTCGCTTTCACCGAGGTTGTGATAACCAAATAAAAGCAATTAGCGGCCCTAAAAGCGAAAAATGTTTCTCCTTTCTCTCCATCTCACGCAAAGCACAAGGCCCATCCTCGATTCCTAACACATTGTATTGCTAGATCTAGGTGTGCCTCCTAATATGGGCCCCAAAGCCAAGAAGAAGATGGGCGAGGGTTAGCCTATGGAAGGGATGGGAGGGGGTGGGTGGGGACGCGATGTGGGCTGTGTGAAACTGGATGAACTCAGGATGGGTAGGTCTAGATCGAGACCATCATTTTTTTTCAATTTTCTTTTCTTCCCTTAATCAGAAAATCCAAGCTCCCGCATTTACTTTACTTTATATGTAGATCTAGGCCTTTAACCGTAGTCACGTTCAACGAGAGGTCGGATCCAACGAGGACAGCAAGCTGGTCCCGGCAACCTCGTTGAATGCGACACCCACTGTACTACTACTATTACAGTTACTATTCCTGGCTCTTTACTGCTCTCTTTCAGCCAGGCCCTGATCTTACGGCAGAAAAAATCGAACCATAGATGTACACCATGGATGGAACTTGAACACCTAGCCATCTCGCAAAAGGCAAGGGTGAAAAAATCTTGGTCTCGTGTGCAAGTTGCATACATACATACGTTAATGATCCCTTGGTCACTGGTGGTTCTGAAATTTATGAAAGTAAAAGTAGGCTTCGACCTGGCAAAGTTCAACATTAATGATTAATTAATTCCCACCAAAACTGAAAATGAAACTAGTCAATAAAAACTACCTTCGAAATCGGGGTGTGGCTGCCTGAAGGGGCCCTTTGGGCCCCATGATTATGAGCTATGATTACTACCAAGTAGGAAAAACTTACATATATTATGTAACAAAATCTGTTGCATTGCATGTTGTAGAACCAGCGATCAGTCAGGGGAATGCACTACATACTACATATGTATCTGAGGAATTACATGTAGACAAGATGTCTGGTGGAATGAAAAAACGAACTAGATCAAAGTGAAAGCCACATAATATAGAAACCTTGCGGCTCTTAAAAAAATTATGGTCGAGTGGAATCAAGAACTGGAATCCTTTCAGTTTCAGTGTGTATCTTCTTAACTGACCATTGACGTTCCAACGCCCAGATCGTTTTTCATGATCATGTAGATGCCAAGGACGGTTTCTAGGAGAAAAATGAGCGAAGCCACGTCATCGCAGGCTGTTCATTGTGCAAGCGACTTAGTTGAATCTGAGCTTGCTCATTTAGGTGTTTCGTTGAAACCGAATTATTGTTATTAATTTTTTTTAAACGGGGAATCCTCTGTATTGTTTTGTATCGGATTCTTCGTATGCGCAAACACAGTACAACAAGCAAGTAGTGCCTTTTTTCAGTGTGTAATGCAAATTTTTTTGAGTTTGAGTAAAGTAAAGAGAAGCACATCAACACAATAATGGTCATTTAATACTGAGAAAAAGTACTTGAAAGACAGAAACAACAGAAGGAAAGTAAAGAAGCAGGCCTACTACTAACCAGTGGCACCCTGCAACTACCCGTATGCAAGATGTGTTTAACATGCTGGAGCAAAATGCTGCAAGTTTCAATTACAAGGTGGCAGGTCTGCTGAGTAAATGCCAATGTCCAACAGGATTTTAAATTAAAATCTTTTCAATGAAAATAAAGCGGTTAGCACGCTCCCTAAGAAAGACAATACTTTTCAATACAGCAGCTTTTAGACTTCATAATAATACAGTCCATGCCGGCTTAAAGCACGGTCATCGGGAGAAAGC